ATCTCGGTAAGTGGCCGACTGTTCACCACGTTCTCGGCTTCGATAAGGGTGCTCCTGAGGGTTCCTAAGCGTGGCGCCTCTTGTTTTAGGACTCTTTGTAGGAGGCGTTTTACACGCTTTACTAACCGCTCCCAGCATCCTCCTGCCGATGGATTGGCGGGGCAGTTGAATAGCCATTCGATGCCTCGTTGTGCGCACTCTTGGCCAATACGGTCGAAATCCCACAGTTGTTCTTCTTCGCGTAACAATTTTTGTGCACCAATAAAGTTAGTGCCGTTGTCGCTGCGAATGTGTATCGGCACACCACGGCGGTTGACAAAATTTCTTAGGCAAATAATGAATGCGTCCGTAGATAAGTCTTCTGCGACTTCCAAGTGAAGTGCACGAACGGTTAAGCACGTGAAAAGTGCGANGAAATCCCACAGTTGTTCTTCTTCGCGTAACAATTTTTGTGCACCAATAAAGTTAGTGCCGTTGTCGCTGCGAATGTGTATCGGCACACCACGTCGGTTGACAAAATTTCTTAGGCAAATAATGAATGCGTCCGTAGATAAGTCTTCTGCGACTTCCAAGTGAAGTGCACGAACGGTTAAGCACGTGGAAAGGGCGATCCACCGCTTTTCGCGTCTTCTACCAATAGTTACCATAAACGGACCACAATAGTCGACGCCGGTATAGGTGAATGGCCGCACATATGGCGTTAAGCGATCTTTCGGTAACTGACCCATCAAAGGCGTAGCTGGTTTGGCGGTAACGGCAATACATACNGAAAGTGCGATCCACCGCTTTTCGCGTCTTCTACCAATAGTTACCATAAACGGACCACAATAGTCGACGCCGGTATAGGTGAATGGCCGCACATATGGCGTTAAGCGATCTTTCGGTAACTGACCCATCAAAGGCGTAGCTGGCGGTAACGGCAATACATACGACGCAGCTTCTTTTGACTGATGCCAGTACCGAGCGTACGTGCGGCACCCAATACTTCTGGCGAATTTCGTTTATAGTCAGGCAGTCATTTTGGTGGTGTAATTTTTTGTGCCAGTGTGATACTATCAGACGCGTGACGTGATGGTGTTGAGGCATGATGACTGGGCGGCGAGCTGACATTGGAAGACAAAACGCAGCGTCGATTCGGCCATTGACTTTGATGAGTCCATCCTCATCGAGCATTGGCGTTAACTGGTATAACGTACTGCACTTAGGCAACCGGAGCTTACTAGGGAGTAGCTTTAGCTCGTCACCATTTAACTCTTCTTGTACACGGCGGCAGATTAGTTTCTCTGCTGATGTGATTTCGTCTGCTGTTAGCTCACCTGACGGGCAGCATAATTTTCTTGCCCTGAGAATCCAACGCAAAACCCAAGCAACTACTCTACGCAATTTGGAAAAAGATGAATATTTTGAAATATTAAGAATATAATAGTCTGAGTTCGAAATAATTAGAAGACGATTTCTATTTTCTTCGACGGCGCAATGCTGTAAGGTAAGTGATTATGGTTCTACCGGCCACGCTATCTCCTGTTTACGCAAAAAGGCTGGACCAGTTAACAAGCGGGAACTCGAACAAACTACGGGTACTGCTTTGGCTCTTGTTGCTTCATCGGCGATATTTAATGAGCTAGGTAGCCAGCGCCATTGCGATGGCTGCGTATTGCCCAGTATTTCTGCTATTCTACTGGCTACAAACTGTTTATATTCTCTGGTGGTGGAACGAATCCAGAGCAATACAGTTTTGGAGTCACTCCAGAAGGTGACACGGCTTATGTGAAATTCATGGCATTCTCTTATGGATCTCTCTAAACGGTTACCAAGAACTGCTGCCTGCAATTCCAAACGCGGTATCGTCATTCCCTTCATTGGTGCACACCTTGCTTTAGCTGCAACGAAAGAGATATCAACCGCCGAACCCTTAGTTATGCGCAGATAGGCAACTGCTGCAAAGGCACTAGCACTGGCATCCACAAAAACGTGGAGTTGAATTTCGTCAGCTGACATAAGCAATGGCGAATAACACCGCGGTATGGTGAACTGCGCAATGTTTTGGAAGCCTTCCCACCACGTAGACCATTGTGTATAGAACTGGTGAGGAAGTGGGTCATCCCAGTCGATCTGTCGTTTCCAAAGCGATTGTTGGAGTATCTTCATGCAAATGGTTAAATTGGCTAAGAAACCGAAAGGATCGTAGATGGCCATTATGATTCCCAGCAGCTCTCGTTTCGTCGGTGGTCGTATGCGATTCAACACTTCGCGGTCAACCCTGTGAAATTTTAGGTGGAACTCAAATGTATCGCTGAGCGTGTTCCAGCACATGCCCAGGACTTTGTCGACAGAAGATTGGCGTTCCATACTAAAAACGTTACTTGATTTTTCATCTTCAGCGCTTAACATTCCTTGCAGAGATTTGTCATTTGACACAAAGTTTCGTAAGTTGAAACCAGCTGCGGCGTTA